TGAAGTAAGTTGACATAATCGAGGTGGGAAGAGGGGGAAGCGTGGGAAGAGTGGTAAGAGTGGGAAGAGTGGGAAGAGTGGGAAGAGTGGGAAAATGTGTGCCAAACTTTTTTGCAGAAACGAAGCACATGGACAGAATTATTGAGACAAGAGTATATGAAATAGAATTAATGAAATATGGGGTTGAAGCAAACAATTTTAATTAAACTAATGGTAAGTAATCAATAAGGAGAAAATTAATAAAAATTATTTTTATTTTTAAATAAGAGCTGAAACAGTAGGAGTACTGATAAATTGAATTTGAGCATACTGGATCAGATTTAATTTCAAGGTTCTCGAAATTGTTTAATAGGAATTTATTGGAAGTAGTATACGAAATATCGAAGCCTGTATTAGACTCGAAGTAGTGTTAAATAACTAACAAGTTTGAAGCAAAATTGGAGAAGCCTGAGAAGTTACTATTCAGACAATGTGTATGATCATTTAAAAAAACTTTGAAATTACGAAAAATTATACCGATATATGAACAAGAGCAAATTGAACACGTTAATTTATATATCCCAGATTGATTCATGATTATTTCTCTACGTATAGTTAACATTTTAACTCTTAATCAGGCTCGCCTGAAGTACGTAAAAGAAAGTAATGTTGTGTAAACATTTATTTCAGTAAAATAATTACAAATAAAATAATGCAAAAGCAATAATTATTACATTTTTGCCAGTTTAAAAAAATATGTAGGAATATAATTTCTAGGGCCTAAATAAGAGTTAAGCAAAGATTTAAGAATAACTTTTTTTGATGTCACTGAGTTTCTTGCCGTGAAATTGAAGTCTAAAGCGCAAAACGTTCCCTAATTATAAATAAAATGAAAATATAAATATAATAAAAAATGAATTAATATTACAAAAAATATATGGCGGTACCAATTCGTTTCACTGTCGCCTATTACCCAGTGAAGTATATGTCCGTTTGATTTTAAAACACATTGTATATGAATGATTGAATAATTTATATGTATAAATCAGTATTCTAATTGTGATAATAATTTATTTGTAACGATAAAAAAATCTTCTAGGACTAGTATTTGCAGAGGGCGGTTCATATTTGTTTGACAGTTTTCCTTTCATTGCTCAAACAACTAACGACTAGACAAAAGAAAAATCCAGGTCCGGAAACAAAAAAAATCAATAAATTTTTGTGTTCTCAAAATAATACTCTGTATATCAGAAACCCGTTTACATATTTGAAAAGTGAAAAATTTAAGTAAAAATTGTACTTTTGAATATTAGGAATCTAATTATACCACTTAAATTTTGAACTTGAATTGAAATTTTTGAATACATATCGAAAAGTGACTTATAGATTTTTAATATTGCATTATGAAAATTATTTAATATACACCCACTCTAGACTTATTTGTAGGTATACAAATACCACCTGTAAACTAATGTTTATTTACAAATTCGTATCTATTTGAAATTTCTGAACATATTTTGATATTATGTTAATGTTATTATTTTAAATATTAATGAAAAGAGTTGCGAAATATTAATCCCTTTTATCCCATTTTAGGGCAAATTAAAGTATTTAAAAATCGTAATTTCATTTCATTATTATTTACGTAATAATTATTATTAAAATACAGGATGGCCAGACGAAAACAAAACGGAGCCATTATCAGGAATTTCTTGTTCCTTACCGTATTCCTCCTTTGGTCGCTCGATTTTAATTTAGAATTCATTACCATCATCATCCTCGTTGCCTGTTTCATTGGACTCTAAATCTTCACGGATTTCAGGTGCATATTTAGGGGAGAGTTGGACAAAACAGGATAGTCGGATAAAACGGGATATCGGCCAATATTTATGAATACGCAGCGCTATCTAACGAGTCGTGGCGTTAATCACTATAAATAATGTTTGTTTGAATGTAGGAAGTGTTTATTCTCATTAACTGATGTTCAGTAGTGTGTGACAACGGCAGTTTGAAAAAGTGAGGTTATACTATTTAGTTTTATTAGCGGTTAATTTAGTGTTTCTTATTTTAAACAAGCAAAATAAATAACGGTGAGTATTTTTTGTGATTTTGTAGATAATTGACTGTATTTTGCGACATTTGTGATTATGACAACTATTTTTTTTGTGAAAAACTTTGAAAAGCATTTTGGAATGTGCAGTTGGGCAAAATGGGATACCAAGCGGTCGGGTAAAACTGGATACTATCCCGTTTTGTCCAACCAAGAAACTATATAGATTTTCACGAGAAATTTAAACTTTACTTTTGTTACAGGCTTGTTAAAAGATGGGAAAATATAAAAGAAAAACTGAACAGCAGTCTTGGAATGAAGGAAGGAAGAATGGGGTATCTTAAGGCTTCGAAACAATTTGGGGTACCTCGGACAACTATTGAAGCCAGAGTAAAAAAAATTAAAAATGGGACTCTTGAACGAGAGAACTCAGCAAAAAAGGGACTAGGGCGTCACAGACCGGTTTTCTCTATGGAGCAAGAAGAAGAGTTGGTGCGACACATTTTGTCTATGGAATCACGACTTTTTTGTTTTTTGGTTTGAATGACTTTCGAAGTTTGGCCTTTCAGTTAGCTCAACGCAATGGCTTAGCTAATCAATTTAACAGAGACAAAAAAATGGCCGGTAAAGCTTGGTTATACAGTTTTCTAAAGAGACATCATAAAGTTAAACTTCGCACCCCTGAGCCAACATCACTTGCTAGAGCCATGGGTTTTAATAGACCTGCCGTACAAAAATATTTTTCGTTGCTGTCTAACGTGCTTGAAAAATATAAAATACCACCCGAACGGATTTACAACGTCGACGAGACGGGTATAGTGACAGTGCCAAAGAAAATATCGAAATGCTTATCGTTGTGTGGGAAAAGGCAAGTTGGGTGTATATCTTCAGCTGAACGCGGCGTTCTTGTCACCGTGGAAATTTGCATGAGTGCTACTGGTGTATTTATGCCGCCTACGTTCATTTTTCCTAGATCCAGAGCTAAACCAGAGCTGCTAGATGATGCTCCTTCTTGAAGTAAAGCTTTTTATCATTCTTTAGGATGGATGCAAAAAGAGATTTTTTCGAACTGGTTCAATCAATTTATTGAGTTTTCCAAGCCCTCCAAAGAACATCCTGTCTTCTTACTTTTGGACGGACATACGACCCACACAAAAAATTTAGACGTTATAGAGAAAGCTAGAGTTAGCGGTGTTGTAATGCTCTGCTTTCCACCGCATACCACGCATCGTTTACAACCGCTAAACGTCAGTTTCATGTCACCACTTAGCTCAGAAGTTCAAAAATCGATGCAGCAACATCCAGGTCGACCAGTTACGATATCCCAAATAGGCAAGCTTTTCGGTAATGCATATATGAAAGCTGCTAGCACCCAAACAGCTGTGAATGGTTTTAGAAAGACAGGCATTCAACCTTTCAATCCAGAAATATTTGAAGACTGGATGTTTGAGCCATCTCAAACAACAGACACACCGACGAACAATAATGCAACTGGTCCAATTGAAGAAAATAATAGCCGCCTTCCACCACATACACCATCACCGATAACACAAAAGCTTGTTTTATGGCGATTATCACAAAATCAAGTTGCAGGTGAAGAGCAAGCAAGGCATGATGCAGAAAAGGTTGACAACTCCGCAACAACACCGGCATTGCCTCCAGATCCTGTTACACCACAAAAAACGCCCCAGATGCTTGAAAGTAAAGAAAATTTGTATAATACTCCTCCTCCTGTTTCTTGCAGAGATTTTGATGCAAATGCGACCCCCTCTTGTTCATACACCATCACAAATTTAAAGTAACACCTCAACAAATAGTTCCAGTTCCTCACGCAGAAAGAAAAATTAATCCTAACGATAAAAGGAGAGGGAAATCGGCTGTGCTAACTTCAACCCCTTACAAAGAAGAACTGGAAACATCTGTAGTGAACAAGCCTATCAAGAAACCCAAACTAAACTTGGAGGAAAATCAAAAAGTAAAGAAAAAAGGAAAAAATAAAAAATGTGTCACTAAGCTAAAGAAAGGAAAGGAAAAAAGAAAGAAAGAAGACAGCAGTTCAGAAGAAGAGGAGGAGGACGACGAAGTTTGCATTTATTGCACAGAATTATATTCTAATTCTAAGACAAACGACGGTTGGGTAATGTGCTAGGACTGTAAACTTTGTGCTCATGAAGCTTGCGCCGGTGTTGAGAACGATGGTGAGCCGTACTCGTGCGATTTTTGTCGTTGATAAACCATTAATTGGTTTCGAATTATAAATATAAAACTCATAATGTTTCTCTTTTCAAGTTTTATTAAATAAATTTTATTTTAATATACTTTTCTATTCGTATTTAATCACCATCCCATTTTACCCGACCAGGTGGGCAAAACGGGATACTTTACCTTTTTTTTAAATATGACTGTTTCTATGTTATCTTCAAGCTATTCAGGAATAACTGTTCCTAAACATAGGAATGGATCAATGAGGAAGTTACATTTAAGAAACAGCAGATATCAATAGCCTAGTTAGAGAGTTACGGGTCAAATAACGTTAGCTGTCTCGTTTTGTCCAACTCTCCCCTACTTTCTTCATCGAGATCATTTCTGAATCCCCAACACAAACCACTTTGCAATTGCAAAATATGGTATTGATCAGTTCATCTCGTGCTGGCGGTAATAATGTTAACGTTTTTTTGTTAAGCCGGACCTGAATGTATCAAGAAAATATACTGAGTTATGGCTCTAGAAAGAAATGTCAAATCGAAATAAATATTCTACTCTTTGGTTACATTATATGCCCTTCAACCTCTCGTTGGAGATTTTTTATAAAATAATCTCACTTCCGGATTAAATGAAATATGAAACCGGATTTCGGTCAGAGTTTATTTACAGATTATTAATAAGTCAATTCAATAAATCTATAAAATTGTCTACTTACGAATAACAAAACAATCTAAAAAAAAGAGTTAAAAATATGATTTAAATGCACGCCAAATTTGTTTTTACAACTGAACCATTGTTATTAAATGCAACGTGTAAACAGTGCTATCTCCCCTTGTTTGAATCTCAACTAACAACTATAATAGGATTGCCTTGATACAAAAATAAATGCAGGGACATGTTTACTATTACAAATTTACCAATTCACTTCATTAATGTCAATCTAAATTAAGTTTAACTTTTCTAAAGTATCATACAGTCTTATTCATAACCCACTCATAATATACGTAATAAATTAGAAGTTTATACACAAATGAAAAATTCTCTATCCATTTACATTTCTAGAAATCACTTTCCATTGGTCTATTTGATCTCTCAGGCTCAGATTCGTTTGAATTCTCAGCAATTGATCGCGTTTGTATTCGATCAGTAGATTCTGATCTCCTTCTCCGCTTTTTTCGTCTTACTTTTCCTTTTTTATTTACTTCAGGGTTACTTCCGTGTATGCTACCACCAAGACTATGCAAGCTCCCTGCCAAGCTAGGATGCGAAGAATCAAGTCTTGGAAGCAACAAAGCATCGTTATATGAAGGCGGGCCCTGGCTTTCTCTTGGATCGGGAGCATTCCTGTTGGCCTCTTCTCTGTATTCCCTTTGCATCTGTTGCATGCGTTGCAAAGCTTCTCTAGCTTCTCTTTCTTGTTGCCTTCTTCTTTCTTCTATTTCTCTAAACCTCTTTTCTCTGATGTCATTTAATTTTCTTAGAGCTACTACTGTGAACAGTAGGAAGATCATTGAAATTAATAGAGCTATGGAATACCACCACAGATGGTCTTTTTTATTTGAAGAAGGATACCATTGTTCTTCACAAGCTGATTGCCAGGTCATTCCATCTACACTTTCAGGAGAATCACAAATTAAATCATCAACGAACGATCCATGTATTTGTAGCCAATCAAAAGTATCTTTTAACACAGCGCAATCACATCTCCACTGATTGTCCCTTAGTTTGACTGTGGTCAAACCTAGTGGAAAGTTACTGAATTGTACAGTAATTAAGCGGTTGTTAGAAAAATCTAAGTCTTGCAAGTCTTGCATATCTCTAAAAGTCAAATTGTTAATACTTTTTATTCTGCAATCACTTAGATCCAAAATTTTCAACTTGTCGCCTACCCATTCATCAGGAATGTAGGAGATAAAGTTCCTCTTTAATGATAAATAAGTAAGTTTTGGTAAAGTAGATAGGGTATACTTTCCAACACTTTTTATTTCACAGTAGCTAACATCAAGCACATTCAAAGACATACTGGTAATACTGTCCAAAGAGGTTAAATAATTGTGAGACAAGTCCAGAGATAATAAAGATTTCGTAGATAGAAACGTTTTTTCTCCTACTATGTTTATTTTGTTAAATGATAAATCTAGAGTTTTTAATTCTTCTAGTCCTCTAAAAGCATTCGCTTCAATCAAAGTTATCGCATTAAGAGAAATATTCAGAAACGTTAAGCTAGACATGTTAATAAACATATTGTTGGTTAACTCTCTTAAAATATTTCCATGCAGGTTCAAAGCTGTTAAATATTTCATGTCACCATATGGAGGTACTTCTAAGAAGCTTTCAGATATATCCAAGAATAGCAAACTATCTGAGTTAATAGTAACGTTTCTTAGGTATTTATTTTTATTTAACTGTACAGTCTCTAGTCCCTTTAATTCTTTAAAAGAGTTTGGTGCTAAATAAAATAGAGATGTTTTGCTTAGATCCATGAATTTTAATGTTTCGGAATTAAGTGGCAAATTCAATATTTCTATAGGATTTGAATTCAAATGTATTTCTTTAATATTCGTCATGCCTCTTAGAAATCCATTTGGAAGTGCAGTTATGGAGCAGTTGTTTAGTTTAAGCACTTGTAGTGATTTAATTTTAAAATGCGTAGAAAACTGAGGTAAATTGCTAAGAGGATTACTCGAAAATTCAATGAAAGTCAAATTTGGTAAATTCCAAAACGTTTGTGGCTGAAAATCCTTCCAATCGTGGTAATAGTTGAAAGATAAGTCTAATAATTCCAATTTCGATAAACCATCAAAGTCCAGATGGCTTAAAGCTGCCAATCTATTGTGAGATATGTTAAGGTACTTCAAATTCACGTAAGTTTTCAATCTGTCTGGTATGTTGGTAATTTTATTGATGGATACATCCAAGCTGATCACCTAAAAACAAAATAATAAAAAGCATTAGGACTGTAGTTAATTATCCTGTTAAAAAGTTGCACCCAAGCAATCCACTAAAACAGTATATCCATGACGTCACACTCCACCTCCAAACAAAGTTGTAAAATCTATATGCGACAAAAAACGATAAAACTGTATTGAACGTAGTGAAAGTAAAATTACGACGTCTATAAGAAGCCAGTAAGGGGTCTTGTGATACCTTATTTTACATCTGATTAGGGATCAAAGGATAGTTTATGCCACATTGTTCGACGAATATAAAATTCTTTCCTCAACTTTTGAAATGGGTCAGCTAAGTTATTGCTTCTACATCCCTTTGCTTCAAATTCTCCTTCAGAGGAGTATCTACATACTTGGCTTCAAAGCAAGGTATGTATGGGTTTCGTAGTACCTCACTTTTGAAGTTTATGTTTGAAAAAATATGTACGTGTAAGTAAAGGTTAAATTTGTGCTCCTCTGGAACCACTTTTTCAATATTCAAAATAAGAAAATGGTTACAAATGTGTTGAGTTTTGTAGAAAAAACAGATTAAAATTTTTGAAAAAGTAGCTCCAGAGAAGTACTTATTTAACCTTTACTTACACACTTTTTCTTTTACCAAAAATCAAAAATTAACTTAAAAAGTGGGGTGCTACGAAACCCTTATATTGGCAGGTTTTTCGTCTATAAAGTAGCGCCTCTCTTAGTTTATTAAGAAATGAATAAAAGTTAATACAGAAATAAATATATATTACAATTTAGCATTATAATATTTATTAAAAAAGAGCCACTAACGTGCTATGAGAGTCTAATAAATGATTCTCTGAAATACAACTTTGTGCTATTTCTGACATAGTACATTTACTACTGCTTAGGGGTATTTCTGACGTAGAGTTTGGTATTTCAGTTGGACGCCGAGAAATATTGTTAATTGCATTGGATATTAACAATGCGTTATTGTTTTTATTATAAAGAATTTATTCATAGCAATCTAACACAGATTCAATTGAAATATGATTGTAAAGTGTGTTGTCTAAATCTGTTATATTATCTACTACAGTATTAATAATTGTGTATATAATATACATAACTCAAAATACAACACAATAAATTTCGAAAATATGGGCGAGGAAGAGGTGTATGTATGAACGTAATTTGTAATTCATCAATTACTATTGTTTATTATTGGTCTCAGTAATAATGTTTTAATGAGTTTACTGATTAATTAACACAACAAACAATTTATTAGCAGTATTTCATTATAAACTCGTAGTTAGTGAAGTGAGTCACCCAGTTTATTAATTTCAAATTGCTGAAGCCCTACTTTGGATTAACACTAATGGCATTCAAATGTATATTATTTAGTTTTGTACGTTTTGTATTAAATAGGAAAACAAAATCATTTGATTAAAATTATAACAGGTTTACACCTTTTAATGTATTAAAATCGAAACAGATTTTGTGGTAGATTTCAGATATTAATTACTTACAAATAATTATAACAATGAAATATGTATTTGTTATTAATTTTCTTTCATATAAGCTTCCTTTATACGGAATATCACAAAAACTGCAACATGTAGGCTTAATCTGAAAGCTCACTTTTAGCTAGACAACTCCAGGAAAAATTTTTGGAGGGGGCCATTGACATTAAGTCATTTCGTTTTAAACATTTTAATCTCGGGGGTTAGGGGGCCATAGGGGCCATGGCCATGCCACTTCCCCTGGAGTCGTCCTTGCTTCTAACCTCATTCAACCCTAACCATTGCATTCATTAGCAGAGTTTAAGAACATACTCTATGAAAGAATGCGAGTAGCTCTCAAAATGATAGAACAGTAGCGGTGCAAGGACCACTCATTATCTATCAATCCCAAAAAGACAGAAGTGGTTCTTTTCACAAAAAAATGGATGAAAATGAAACTATAACCTCCAGAGTTCCTTAACACAAAATTAAACTTTGCAACAGAGGTGAAGTACTTAGGTCTCACCTTTGAAAGCAAGTTAACATTGAACTCACACCTAGAAAACAGAGTCAAAAAACATGCATTGTTTTGTTGTATTGGCATCGAACACCTAATAATTAACAGCTATCCATAAACTAGAACGAATTGAAAGAACAGCATGTCTCAACACAACAGGAGTCATGAAAACCATATCAACCAGAGCCATAGAAGTCATTCTTAGTTTCACTCCCCTTGATATTTACATCAAGGAGGTTGCTCTGATGACATCGACACTACTCTGCACGGTTGGAATCGATGACGAAAAACTACTAGACAAATGTATTCATTCATAATTAAGACCTTTTTTATTGCAATCATTAAGATTGTGTTTATTATTAGGCAGACAGAGCTGTCGCATCGGCTGACATATTAGAAAGAAGGAGACAGCTGCTAAATTGAGTGGGAACGTTTGTGCGAGTACATTTATATGAGGAGCGAGCATGCGTTTTATAAATAAATCAGTAGTTACGTCTACTACGCTTGCTTTAGACTGATGTCACACTTTAAAATGAATTGCACAATCCATGTAACGATACTATTTAATAATAATTTGACAACTCCGTGGATGACACCGTGAATGTTTGCAATTCGATTTTTGTAAACAAAATTAGTCCAGTAGTCAGTAGTTGTTCATCGTCGGTTGGAATGAAACCTGATGTAAGATTTGGTGAGGCGACAGGTCCCTTTTGGCGGCAAGCGTTCGATGGGCTTCACTGCTTCAAGCGAATATGCACTCCATCTCATCAAGATATCTTTCATAAGCCTTATACAGTTTTAACAGAACAAATAGAAGAGCCGAAAGTGTTAGGTACGATTCATATCTACACCAATACTTCTAAAACAAAATAATGTGGATTATACTCCAGATCGTTAAACCTAAACATAAAATGGGTTGTGGACAACAGTGCCAGTGTAGTTCAAACCAGATTTTCATAGCAGCAAAAAAGTTAGCAGAAACAATATCACTGGAACATGCTCATCTATGCAGACAATAGACAAGCACTACTCATCCTGGACAGACAAAAAATTTACTCAGGGTTAGTACTAGAATATCAAAAAGCTTTGATCGAAGTATCCATCAACAATGTGGCACCTTAAGATGAATCAAAGGTACCATCACATCGGAAGGAAACCATCTTGCCAAATACGTTTTGGACCTGGCCCTTCTATTGCACTGACAACATCGGTAGTGACAAATCTAATTAAAGAAAATTCCCTTGTAAAATTCAAGGAAAGATGGGATAAATCAATAAGCTACAAAGTTGCCAGGAAACTTTTGAGTTATCCCGACAACACTACAACAAACAAATACATTACCATGTAAAGACAGAAACTAATCACAGGCATTCTGACTGGTTATTGCCAAGTACAGAAGCATCTCCATATCATGGGGCTGTCAGAATTGGTACTCTGTAGTGTATGTGGGAAAGGAGGGTTGGCATTGGAGAATCCGTTTGACACAAATGTATTATAATTATTGTACGTTTTAGATATCTATTTTAATATGTCTTAAGAAATTCACTATTGTATCTAAAATATTTTTATTATCAATTCTTAGTAAGCAAGTTATGTTTACGGGCATCGTGATGTTTAAGTGCAAATATTAGTATCAGAAATAATAATTCTATGGAAATCTGGCAATTGAGTAGGCTCTGGTTACTTTACAATTAGTGATGTGAGAAACCCGCCTTGGCAAAGTTAGGTGTATGAGAGTGTAATGGTTATTGGATGATTCTACAAAGTATTTCTCGTGTTTTACGGTTTTTTTACCGATGTTGACAAAGTCTCTATAATTATGATGACTAATAAGGTTGTCTAGCTTGGTTGCCTCTTTTGCTAATGTACCCATTATGTCTCTCCCCAAGATCTTTCACCCATATAAAGATCAAAGTTTCTTTTTGATTGAGTAATGCATAGAGAATTGTCTTAATATTACAAATAAACTGCTGGCCACTCGAACTTACACATAGAGATTTTTAGGCAAAATTTAAAGTTCAATAGTTTCAACAGAAATGCAAATTTTTGAATGCGGCTTGCTAGTTTTTTTTTATTAAGCTGCATGACGTATATTTATCGTAGGACTAGAGGTTTATTATATACGGGGTGATCAATGAAGTCATGCAAAAAATCAAAAAGTTTGTATGAGGGAAATTTCAACAAAAAATTTTTTTGGTCGTTGCAATATGGTTCGTTACTAATGTAACATCATTATCTCTAGACATTTTTGTTAGTTTTTGGATTAAGGTCCTTAGGTCTTGTACACACTACTAAACATAAAATTTGGGTAGCAAAATGTTTAAACTTGACATTGGATTGACGGTTTAATGATGAATTTTGCGGATTTGGAATCCTTATTTCACGTAGATTTTCCGTAATCTAAGCATTTTATTTGAGGGTTGAAATTTACACATTATACCGGGTCGATAATACACAAAAACGTAGAGTACGACGCTGTCTAAGGTTTGGCATTATTTAAGTTTTTGTAAAAATGAATTCTCACCTCAAATTGTTTTGTTTAATGTCCTTCTCACTGTTCTGTCCAAAACTCTCACCCCAATTTAATGTCTCAAGGAGTCATTCAGTTTTACAGAGTTCTTTGTCCTGTAATTTCTACGCCACGTTTCAATTTCAAAGTAAACATTAGAAAAACAAATTTGTTGCTATGGAATTAAAAACAGTTAACATTATTTTAGAAATGATTTGACATATTTCAATGTGATAATTTTGTAAATATGGCAGAAAGGGAAAATTGCATTGGACTTCTCAACGAAGAAATGTCAAAAAAGCAAATTGGGCACATTTATAATGTCAGCCGAAAGACAATTTATAATTTGAACCGTCGCGTCGAAACTACTGGTGATTATAATTGTGGGCATGTAGCTGGACATACAAAAAATAAACCAAAAATCGACAGAATTTTATTTAGAGAAACTATGCAGAATAGAACAAAGAACTCTAGAAAACTAAATGACTCTTTAGGGCAACAATTTTTTTTT